TCAATACTATTTGTATTGCTTAAAAAACTTTATGTCTTATATATTCGTTAATTCTTTAATAGTCATTACATTTAATAAATTAGCTTCTTAAATTCGTAATCTGTTTCGATATTACTATTGTAGTACTACATACTGTACTACTTTTGTTCTCCACTCATACCAAGACTCCAAAGAGATCGAAAAATGTTGTGGCGGCTCACCAAACTCACGGTCACAGTAATATCAACTATTCTCTGTCTCTCTACTTCTACTCAAATAGGCAATATCATTTTATTACTAATTGTACCCATGCATTCAAATCCTAATATGTGAAAAAACTTTTTCGTACATGTTAAATTGTTGAAAAATGTGGTGCAAATGTTAAATAAGTCTTTATTTCTATCATTAAATTAATATTTAAGACAAATATTATATGCCGTATTTTTAAATTGTGAAACGTTTAAAATACGTACGTATCTTTATATATTTCACGAACGTATGAAACATATATTAAACCGTATTTTATATAATTGTATCGTATTATACACGAACGTACGTATTATTGTATTATTCACGAACCGCATATTACTAACAAAGTGTTTAGAGCAAATATCAACTCTGAGTGCTAGCAAAAAAAAAAACTTACAACATAATTAATTACATTTTTTGTTGGTTTGATGTGCCTTGTATGTATCAGTTTCATAGGTGACAAGATTACTGAGTTGAATTTTATGTATCAACCAACTTCAATTTATAAAGTTGCAAAATTGATCATGCCACTCTTATAGGAGAAAGATACTTATTTGACATAACAAAATGTGAAAGAGTGATCTTTATTTGTATATTCAGTATAAGTGTCCTTCATCTCATCTCCAAAAGTGGACAGGCTAATCCATTGATCTCTTTTCACATTTTCTGGATAATTACCATGCAAGATAGTAATGTTTTATCATCATCACATCACTTTCCTTACAAAAAGCATTTGTACTCCCTTCATTTATGCCCAAATGATGTCAATATCTACTTCTCAAGTGATTTGGAATAAAGGAACCGATCTTAATAAAAATAGACACGAAACAATCACTGATGATTAATAGATTTAAAATATAGTTTAATCCTTTAAAAAGTAATCAAGGTGTAATCCTTCAAAAGAGTTCAATGAGAAAACTAAAAGCTTTAATATAATTTGAACTTCTTTTAATATCAAGTTTCACTGCTTCGATTACTTCCTATTCTCAAATGACCCCGACTTGTATAACTTAATGAGCACAAAGCAACAACTAAAAGACATGCAATAGTCCAATATCAATGCATCATTGGTGTATTATTTTTGACTGATTGTGTTGTCATGTAGCAACTAATTACTTTGACAAATAATGTTGTTAAACATAGTTTGTACTAATCTTTAATTTGCACAAATAGTTCTAATTCCTAGACTAATTCCTGTGTGTCATGAGTCGATTTCTTGAAAATCGAATGATAAATGGATTTATGCCAGTATTACACTAGATCATTTGAATTGTATTACTCGCTGTGTCCCATAAAGCTTGACCAAAGTTGAATTGCTCATAAAATAATAAAGTAAAAACTGTTGGTTGGGATTTATGCAAAGGAGGGAGAAATAACTTTAGCCACATATTTGTTCGTTTAAGTGGATATTAAAAAGTTTTTTGAAACGACCAAGAAAGTTGGCCAATTTTTATGGGATTGAGGTAATATTCTGTATCATTTGTTCCTTTGGTCTTATTCATAAAAAGAAAAGTACTCATACAAATGAAAAGTAAAAAGAAGAGTACTAAACTTAGAAAAGAAACAGATCCTATAAAAAAATTGTGACTATTTCACAGGCAAAATTAAGTTTGTCATTAAAAGAATTAAGTAAATTAAGTCAACGGGGATGTATAAATTAAGGAGCTAAATAATATTGGCTAAATAAAGTAATATATAAACCATATAAAAGAATAAAAGAGTGTATTGTCTGGAATTGATTTTGTATTTGATTTTGAGGGTTGATAAGAGAGAGAACTATAGCCAAGGCTCCAATTGATCTGCTATTCTTCTGATAAGAGTGCTATCTTCCCTACAAACAAGGCATTAGTTGAATTGATCTCCCTTATCTTCTACTTGACAGCTCAACCACGTACACCATTTATCCTTAGTATTGGGTTCATTGTTATCATCTAAATATGTGGTCCTTAATTACATAAATTATATAAAATTTACATGACAACTAATGCCCTAACAATTGCCCTCTTTCGAGAAGTTGAGGTGTAGGGGTGCACATGTCAATCCATTAAGCAACAACTTTTCGAAATCTCGAAAGAACTTATTCTCTTCACCCTTGACTATTAAGGATTCAGGTTTGTCATGATGGGATTTAGGTCCAGACTTGTAACAACAGCTGTTGCGTCGCTTCTCTTGGATTTCCTAGAACAAGAAGCTATGGAGGCAGCGGTCTAGATTTGCGATTTTAGGAGTTTGTTTTCCTCTTGAATGCAATCAGTTTTTAACGTCATTTCCCGCTTCATTTCTTCATTCACCGCCTCTATTTGCTTTTGAACTTCCGTTATTATAGCTGAGCTTTGATCTTCCATGAATGATAATTTTTCTTGCCCACGATGAGCGCCAAATTGTTTAATCTAAGTCAAGTAATGTATTTCAATAATTTATTTAGTTCACTTCCCGATTGTACTTTAAGATGAAATTTGGTGGATATAATCTAAACTTCATGTAGAACATCCTCACGATATTTCATCAAATAACTTTACTCGGAAGCACCTCAAATGGAGGTGGCCATATGGTGTTTTGGTCACAAAATCTATGATAGAAATATTTATCTTGTATAATATTCCTTACATACTGTGGATCAGTCCAATCCGAATAGTGGTTATTTTACTACTTTAGTCTACTTTCATATTATTGTCTATTTGTAATTGTATTTGTTATTTGAGTCCACCTCAAAAATGAATTCATGTTGCTACTGCTTACGTTGTTATTTGTTTATGGTAAATTACTAATATTATCGATCAGTTTGTTATTAATTACGATACTTTTTACTTATAATGTAATACTAATATAAGAACATGATTTTGAGGTTGACCTACTGCTATTGGATGTGTACCTTGAAACTATTAAACGTTTTTGCTAGGCAATTGATGTTTATTTTTAAACATTTATGTTTTTGTTATGTTTAAATTGAATGTTTGCACTTGGGATTTTTGTAATATTTGCACATTCGAATATCATGTATGTATAATACTATAATGTAATGGTAATAACTTTGACAAATATTTTCATGATTTGAAATTTGAATATTTTTATGTAAGTGAAGGTAAATGTGTTCATTTTAGAAGGATAATAATTTTTTAAGGAATCGAAAAAAGTAAAAACTAAACTGAATTTAACTAGAATCAAACCGAATTTAATAACATTTATCCTTAGAACCGAATCAAGTTTGACATCTAAAATTTTTAATACAGTTCTATCAAATTTTAACAAGAACTAACTCAATCCCAGGTCCAAATTATTCCAATTCTAGAACAATTTCATTCGATCGACCAGTTCCAATCCATAATATACTTATTATGGATGAATTCATATATAACAAATGTAAACATTTGCTCATTATATTGGAATGAATTTATTTATTAGAGCTAGTTATATAAAATTAAAATCACAAACGGATCACAATATCACATTCCACCCCAACGGCTATATTCTATTTGAATTTGAATTGAAAATGTAACAACTAAGCATGAATTCAGTATGAAACCGAGTCCAAATCAAGACCAGACCGTCCGGCTACCCTTAACTAGGGGTGGACTGGGCTGGTTCTGGGCCGGGTCAAGGCGGGCACCGAGTCCAAGAACATCAGGCCCGGTACTGGCCCGAGTTTGTATCGGGAGCGAGCCGGGTCTTAATTTTTTCTTTAAATTGTCTTTTCGAATTAATTCCAACCCCAACCCCCCCAAACCGCCAAGCCCTACCCACCTAGCAGCCAGCCCAACCCGATTTAAAAAAAAACAATTGGGCCCGAACCGACCGGGCCGGTCCACCTTTTTTAATCTAGTAGCCCGCCTATTGATTACCCGGTTCATAGGGATGGACTCGGGCCGGGCCAACCGGCCCGGAACCGGACCGGCCCGCTACTGTGCGGGCCCGGACCGGCCCGGTCAACCGGTTCGGTTCCGGTTCGGGCCTCCAGGCCCGGTGGTATACCGGTCCGGGCCCGGGCCTCCAGTTTAGTGAACCGGCCCGGCCGGGCCGGGCCCGGTTCGGGCCGGAATTTAATTTTTTTTTTTTTTGAAATTTTTTTAAGTTTTGGGTTGGATTAGGTATTTTGGGCCATTTGAGGTGGTTTGGGGTGGTTTGGGGTGGAGGGGGAGGGGTAGGGGGTTAAATAAGAGAAGAAGAAGAAAAAAAAAAAACATTCCGGGTGTCCCGGCCCGGCCCGGCCCGGTTCTGGCCCGGAACCGGAACCGGAACCGCCCACCACCGGTTCGGGCTCGGGCCTCCTTTTTCTGAACCGAGGCCCGGCCGGGCCCAGGCCCGAACCGGGCCCGAACCGGAACCGGTCCACCCCTACCGGTTCGGGCCCCCAGTCCCGGGTCAGGCCTGCACAGTGCCGGGCCGGGCTGGGTCCCGAGCCGACCCGACCCGTCCCAGTCCACCATACCTGAAACCGGCCCAGAATCAGAATTATACCGATTGGGTTCGGGAGTCACATAAAAATGGCAGAGACCGGGTGATCTCGGCCCAAAACCAGGACTGGTCCGAGCCAAGTCCATGCCTAATAACGACTAACAACTAACTGCTATAACATTAAGGGAGTTCCTACAATATGACTGAATTGAAGCTTATTTCCATAAAAGTGGCTACTTTTACATGTAAACAATAATGTGATTAACAAGGTGATAGATTTGAAAAAAAAACGTGATGTCACTGCCATATTTCATATGATATCATTGTAAGTTTGTAACATAAGATAGTGGTAAAATTATAACTACATGATCAATAGGGGCATGGTGAAAGTCACTGCACATTAGGGAAAGGGTCATTGCACAAGCGCACATATAGATGTCACATTGTTCCTATTTTACTGATAACTTTGAAAGTATTTCAGATCAAGTAGTTTGGATATAATCCATTGCTGTTTAAGTTTGCATAGCTTGTAACTAAACAGGAAGCATAACTACTTGATCCTTGTGTGCAAATATATCATTATTCAATAGAATTCAAATCAGCCCTGGATTGCTGCTCCAATCACAATTACAAAATACAGCAGTCAAATGGAAAACATGGCAATCTCATTAAAAGACAAACTGCAAAAGATGGAACAAGAATTCAAACATGATGGACTGGCACTCCACGCATTCACATAAATGGAAGCATGTGACTAGAATATTGGAAAACTATAAGTCTATAACCTTAAGTAGCTGTCTTCAGCTCGGTAGGTGAAGCCGTGGATGAGTATACGGGGTGAAGCACATGGCCTTCTTTGGGCAACACGTGGACCCACTTACGTCCAGTCAGCTTGTTTCGCTCGAACTTCACACACCCTTCTTTCAATGCAAACAATGTGTGGTCTTTTCCAATCCCCACATAATCCCCCGGATGGAATCTGGTTCCTCTTTGGCGAACAATGATATTCCCTGGAATCACCCTCTGCAACACATATAGCAGTTCAGCAACCAAAACACATCTTCTGGCAGGGGTATGGCGTACCAAAATTTAAGACCTGAAAACCAACCCAACAACTTTGGGGCATTTCAGGTTCAGTGTTGTCAAAATCCAAATTTTCAAAATTCATTAAGTTTCATCATTGTAAAAAAATGATGACAGTTCAGTAAAATACATAGTAAGCTGATACATACATCAATGAGTGTATATTTGTGAATTGATACCAAAGTATATATGATGAACCACTGTTTTAAATAGGTTATTATTAAATTATATAATGCGTTAAAAGGTTCGGGTTTTGAGCTCGACATAATTTGATAAACCCAAGACTCAACCTACATTTTCATTATTTAAAAAAAATTGGCGGGTTTTATTTGTTGTTATTTAGAGCCGATCCAAATATTTAGAACTGTAAGTGAAATCTTAAAAAGGGCTTGCATCTAAACTGTTTCAACCGTAACATTGTCACCAATCTAATCAATCTCCAATCTTTTCAATAATGAAATTCTCACCTCTCCACCAAATTTCTTCACCCCAAGATTTTTAGGTTTTGAGTCACGCCCATTTTTTGTGGACCCAGCTGTCTTCTTGGTAGCCCAACGCCTTAGTACTAAGCTCAGTCCCTCTCCGGATGCATCTAAGTCATGAAAAAGAAATTACTGCTCCATGTAAATGTTATTACCAACTAAAAAAAATCTCCCTTCAACTTAAGGATAGCAAGTCATCATGAGAGATTCATACCCCTGCCGCAACTGTAGAGAGACGGACTAGAAACCAAATCTCTGAGATTTAACCTCCTGAATAGTGTTGTGATATTCATGATCCTCTTTGTCAAAATGAAACCTGAAGCAATAAAATAGTGTGTCTATTTGAGACATGGGGGAGAACCGGAGAAATGAAAGAAAGTAAATAAAACAGGAAAACCAACTTTAGAAAAGAGAAACTCTTTATAATCTATTAATCTATAGAATATGACCTAGAATAGGAGGTTATATTTAAAAAAATAACCAAATGACCTTAATTCCAAGGATACCACATCCACATATCCTTTAATATTTTGTAAATGAAGTCTAAATATAAGTTTTAGAACTCACTATGCTCTTTCCAACAAGATATAAAACGCTCGAAAAGGAAGCACATACCAATCCTTTAGTATTTTGTAAATAAATTTTTAATACGAGTTTTACAACTTGATAAGATCTTTCTAGTTTCTAACGAGTTACAGACGCTTGAAACGGAAGAACATAATCTACCTATTTATTTATTAATTAATATATAAAAGAAAAATAAATTTCCTACAGTGTTCGCGCCTTAGAGCTCCATAGGAATAAATACTCCTTATCCTAGTGAAAAAATCCACAAAAACATGAAAATAGTGAAAAAACAAGAATGCCCCGTTCTGTGTGATATCATGCAGCTGCTTCCTGAGCTATGTGCTAAGCTATGATATCCCATCACCATAAATGCCAAGGCACAAAAACACCATAAATTCCCCCCTACAGTAAAGTTTTGCTAAATGAGCACCAGCAAAGAACCCTTGGAGTAAAAAAATGAAATCTACAAATTGCACATTGTTAATCAAGAAGAAAATGCCTTTATTTTGTTCTTACAAGCTTCAAGATTGTTGATGTAAAATAGCAAAAGTAATTACATAGAAGCTATTGTATTATAAGATAAGAACAAACAGGTATATATTTACATGTATAAGAATTCACAAATAAGCTACGCACAAATAGCCCATAGATATATACACTCGTATAATTCATAATGAGTGTGTGTGTGTGTCTGAAGTAATTCAAGAAACAAAATACCATGATATAAAGAAGGTTCAACAAGGACAATAACACAAATTTCGAGTCTTCCAAAAATTATGACAGCATGGCTAAGTGGGTCTTACCAAACAACACAAAGGCCCAAAACACTTCAAAAAATTACTCTAAAGAAGTCTAAATCTAAATGATATGTATGTGTATCTATATGAATGATTTTAAGCACAGGTGTAGACAGGACAGATGTTCGGGGGGGGGGGGGGGGGGCTATAAAACTAAAAACACTATATAAAAATTTTAAAAGTGTAAGCAGTGTGAACATAATGATTAAAATCCATTAAAATTCATAATAATATTTGTAAACAGTACATACAATATTTGAAGCTAAAATGTTAACTGACCATGACGTTCTTTGATCTTAGCAAACTCATCTATGAGAGACTCATTGTCAAATTTGTTGGCAAATTGCTTTTCAATAAAGATGGTTAAACAGTATGCCTTATGTGTTGTTGGAGAGTATATGAACCAATTAAATTCATTGAACCAAGTGGATTGAAAACAATATATCTTATATTTGTATTCTCGGTCTTTGTAAAAGTTCAGGGTTGATAAGGTCCAACCATCAAATAAGATCGTCTAATTTCATCTCTTTTTCTAACGCCCAATCACTTATCTTTTTCCGTTTCTCCGGATCCCACTCAATTACAAGTGCATCAGAAACTACTTCCTCTTGACTCTTGAGCGGATGAGATATTTGGAGTTTCAATTGAGACATTTAACTCTTGTCTATTTTGTGTGCAGGTACTAGGCTTTTAAAACGAATGCAGCGTCATTTTTGCCATTTTGGAAGTAGATTGAGTAGCCATACTCTACTAAAATTAGCAAAAAAAAATAATCAATATTTTATTTTAATTCACATAATTCATATTAAATTATTAATATTCTGAAAATCACAAATCACATTTGGCATTCCTAATTTTCCATTCAATTCACAGCACACAATTACACAAACGAATTAAATGACATACTAAATCACTAACACAAACTAAAATAACAAATAAAATACATAAACTAAAATAAAAAATAAAATACTTAAACTAAAATATAAATTGTAACAAAAATAGAGGAACTAACCTGAATCGAAAGAAGAAGCGAGCAGGAGCGGCAGAGTTGCGAAGGAGCGGCAGAGTTGCAGAAGGGAGGCGTCAGGGTGTGCGGCCTCCGGCGATGCACGCGTCCAGAGCGGGCCTGCGACGTCCGGCGATGCGAGCAACGAGCGGTGTGCCGTGTCCGTGTGCAGTGGCGGTCAGTGGAGTCCTGCGCTATGGCGCTTGAGGTCAACAGTCAACCCATTCCTGTTTTTTAGATTAGCCATGGACCATTTTTTTCACTGGGCCAGATTTTATTTTGCACTGTGCCGGATTTTAATTTGCACTGGGCCAATACCATTTTTTTTGTTTTAACTATTTATAATACTTCGTACAAAGAAAAAAAAATGTCTTGGGCCAGGCCCCCCACCCTTGTTCTTACACATGTACTAAAGCACAAAAAGATTATTTCCAAATTACCTATAGTGAAAATCGTGTCAAAAAAGACTGTTTCATAACAAAGAAGCGTAAACAGTTTAATACTATGGATGTTTTTACTTGGACTGTAATTTGCAAGTCTAGTCTGGTCTGATCTGGTCTGAACTTGTCTGGTCTAGTTTCTTTGTATTTTTATAATTACCCAAGTCTGGTCTGATATGATCTGGTCTGGGACGAATTACAGTCTAAGTATAAATATCCTACGTAAGTCATTTTGCTTAATTTCTTGGGAAAATGGAAACTAATAATCCAACCTTTTAGCGATCTTCTTTCAATAATCCCACTTTTTGATTATTCATGAATAATCCAACCTTTGCACCTCATCTTCATCCACTGGTCCCTGACCGGTTGATGACTTGCTATTCCAAGCTATTTTCTTATCTTTGCAAATCATTATACCTTAAATCTCATCTTTCACAAAGATAATATTTTGCAAAGATAAAAAAAATAACTTGGAATAGCAGGTCATTAACCGATCAGGGACCAACGAATGAAGATGAGGTGCAAAGGTTGGATTATTCATGAATAATCAAAAGGTGGGATTATTGAAAGAAGACCACTAAAAGGTTGGATTATTAGTTTCCATTTTCCCTAATTTCTTTATATTCTCAAGCCAAAAATGGTGAATTTTTGGCTCCATTGCAAATGATGGAAAGGAAATTTGGAATTTTATTTGGAAAAAACAAAATTTTATTTTTAGCCCATACATGGATTATGATTTCCTTTATAATCTAAAAATGCAAAACTTTATTTAATGAGTTACGATTTCTTTCATGTTTTCCATGGCAAAAACAAAAAATTTAAAAGCTTCATATTTATAAAAAAGAGAAAGTTTGTCTTAGCAGCTCATTTTTTCTTCCATGTTGGAGTGTGCACTTTGCACCCATTTTTGAATTGTCCAATACTTACACTCCATCATGAGGAAATTATTAAGGGAGAATTTGACTTTGCATCCCATATTTTGGTTAATATTGGACTTTGCATCCCATTTTCAAAATCATTAATATTTGCACCCTATTTCACTATATAATCATTTGACTTTGCACCCCACTCCTTCACAATTTTTGAGCTAATGGAGTGCAAATATTAATGATTTTGAATATGAGGTGTAAAGTCTAATATGGCCTAAAACATGGGGTGTAAAGTCAAATTCCCCCCAATTATTAAATTGACGAGTGCTTGGACTCTATCCTTAGGCAAGTCTGGTAATAGGTGTTAACACCATTTGAAATTACACCCAAGGATTGAGTATGCATTACATTTTTTCTCCAATTCAGAGCTAACACCCCTTTTTAAAACCCAGACAATGAATTTTCATAATGACGAAGTGCAAGTATTATTAATTTGAAAAATAAGTCGCAACCTTCAATTAGGAATTTAGAACAAATTTCCCTAAAAACTATTTTTTGGTTCTATTTTCATCCATCTACCATTTTCCGCCTTTCAAAGAAATCATTCTTATGATTTTTAGACCAATGTTTTAATTTATTTTCTGAGTAGTTACTCATGTTATACATACGACTTCGCTCGTGCTTTGAAGCAGACAACAATTTCATTTGGAGAACATGACAAGTATCCAGTCTCAGTATCATTTATCGCATCACACATAAGTGATAAATTTTTGCTTGATAATGTTCTTGATATTTTTTTTCTGAAATTCAATAAGTGATCATGGTTCAAAACACATTACCATTGCCTAATGGTAGCATGGATGACTCTGAAGGCTTGAAAGAAAAGATCCTGCTCTCTTTTCTCTCATTCTTTTATATGATGTTTAGGATATTTTTTATTATGATTGGACTTTAAGCATGCTTTATAAGTATTTTCTTTCTGGACTATTATATCATATTGGTTTGTGTTGTTGTGGTGTATTTTCTAAGTTTGCTTACTCGATCTTTGTTTCTTTTATCTTGAAGTCTCTATAATTAGGTGGTTGTAAAGAAAGCTTAGATGAAAAATTACGTAGAAATAATTATTAGAAATAAGCTAGTAAGTAAAGTAAAACCTGAAGTGATGGTACTAAATTTTTGAGTAGAAAGTTTAGACACATTACTGTCAGTATCTGAAATGGTTTTGACAATCTTAAATTCTTGATGCAGAATGTGAAGGCGCATTTAAGATGAGGGGAACACCTAGGGAGTCTTCTGCTCTACAACGAGGCTCTTCAAGGTTTGTACAATATGGTTGGTCTGTTGATTTGTTTACCTCGTTCCCCTTGGAAGAAACAATGTAGTCCCAAACTCCTTCTGATTTAGCATTGGTAATCACACAAGTTTTCTTGTATTTTACTTTCCAAAACCATGAATTGCCCATTCACCATGTATTTATGATCGTTTTTTGCTTGAATGTTTAATAGATTTTAGGTATGCACTTGTTCTAGAACCAAAGAATAAGGTAGCCTATCAAACTGAAAAGAGGATGAGGAAATTCATGAGGCCAGGTGATTCTTCCTGGTAATCACAATACCGAACATTTCTCCCAAAAACATACAAGTCTAGGAGAAGGGGTTTGATGACTATTAACTAGTATCTGTTTCGTAATGCATGCAAGCTCATGCGTGGTTACGTAGACTGGCATGTAATACAATACTTCTCTGTAATAAGTTTGTTATTAGTTGATTAGATAGTTAGGCAGCATCTTTGATAGTCTGGGTGCATAAATACTGTTGTAGTTCGTTCATAGTGAATAACAAGATCTTATCATCATCTTCTTCCATCTTCTATTTGCTAATATGGTATCAGATGTAAACACAATTTTTCTGCGCCTCCATTGATGAATCCTTGAAGCTTCGTCATGGTAGTCACTCGTTCAAACATTGAAAGCTCAGATTCTACTCCGGATGACCAGATCATTTAATCAATCCTTCTAATCCATGTTTTCTTCATCCCAATGAGAATCTGAATTTGATTCTCGTTCCAGTTCTCCTCACAGAGAGAAACATTCATTCATGGAGACATCACATGCTTGCCATGCTTGAGTCTAAAAACAAAGACCGATTCATTGATGGATCGTTTTTTCACCGACATTGAATGATCCTTTGCATGAACCATGGCGTCGATGCATTCGAATTGTCATGGCCTGACTCATGAGCTCCATGATTCCTCATGGAAGGCTCGTCATCTGTAACTCAGTATTTTACTAAACTTCAAACCCTATGGAAGGAATTAGAACAATTTCATACACCTTTAGTTTGCAAATGTTCTAATCCTTGTTCGTGTGGAGTACTGAAGAAAAGCATCAAGGAACGTGAAGATGAATATATCATCAAGTTCCTAAGAGGTCTCAATGAAGTTTTTGTACAAACTAGAACTCAAGTCATGATGACAAATCCAGTGCCTACATTGACTATAGCCTTTTTATTGATTCTCGAACAAGAACGAGAACTTGGATCCATAACTTCACTTAATGCTAGTTCATTCAGTGTTGTTGCTGACACTGCACCTCTAAATAATTCATTTCCCAGAGGTAATTCTCATTCCTCTCGTGGTAATTTTCAAAACAATCGTGGTGGTGGAAGAAACTCTTGAGCAGAAGGAGGCAGAGGAAATAAATATTGTGATCAGTGTGGAAGAACTAGTCATACAAGGGATACATGCTTCTAAATCTATGATTATCCTCCAAGCTACAAATCAAAACATAACTCTACATCCAATGCTTCTTTTGCTCACTTGGCTTATGTGCCCCCTTTGCCAATTCACAGTAAAAAAGTTCCGAATCTAATCTACCTCAAGACCATTTCACATTCTCTAAAGAGCAATATCAAGGAATAACGACACTTCACTAACAATCTCAAACTGCAATAAAGGATGTTTCTCACTCTGTTAATTAAGCCAACGCCAGTCCATTGATTCTTCGTGGTAAAACCTTCAATTCTTCTTTTTGGATCATAGATAGTGGTGCTACCGATCATAATAGTACACTATATAAAATAGATGAGGTCTTCATAATAGTGACACAACCTATACTAATTCAGAAGAAATGTGGAGGCCCTATTACTTTGAGGCAAAAACACTTAATTTAAAGCCTGAAACGAGAGTAAATAAGCTAAACTTTTGCGCGCGCGCACACACACAATCTGTATAATGAACAAAAAAGTAAAACATGAAATTAAAAAACTCAACAAACTGGAATTAATTCCACTTTAGGTCCTACCAGTTTTGTGCCAATTCTACCTTTAGTCCACATCTTTCACTTTGCCCACTTCCGGTACTTGACTAATGTTTTTAACCTTTTGCAGTCCTTTTCCGGTGATTTTAACCATCAGAATCAATCCCGGAAGGACCATATATGGCCGAAACACACTAGTCATGTATCAAAAGTGGACAAAGTAAAAGATGCGGGCTAGATGTGGAATTGACCTAAAACTCGTATGACCAAAAGTGGAATTTATTCCAACAAACTGAGACAAAACTCAACAAAATCAATACAATTAATAAGAGAACTTGAAGCTTCATTTTATCTCTAACCTCCTTCCTTATGCTCCCAAGTGGCTTCCTCTTGTTTTTTCATAATTTTTCTTGCTTATATTTCAAACCTCTTAATAAGTTCTCAATCCTAGTCTTATTTTAGAAGATAAAGCTTACACCGCATTGTACAAAAGCTAAATAAACACAATCTAAAATCATTCTAAAATATGATGTTTATGCATTACTAAATATTGCACATATCAATGAGCTCACTCTTCTCGTTTTCTCTATTTGAACAAGTAACATAGATTCCATGCTTACTCAGTGAAAGCCTTATCTACCAAATGGATCACATTACTTGTATCATAAAAGGCAACGCCATGCAATTTGTCCCTAGTTACTAGTGTAAAAAAAT